CAGCTCTGCAATATTTTTGCCTGTCCAGAAATGTCAGAAATATCAAAGTCAGATTTCTACGGCTTCTATCAGAGGTTTTTGAGGCTCAACTGTCTAATGCCCAGGGCAAACTGATCCAATACCCTGGCTGACCATGCTATGAGCAGGAGGTCAAACCAGGGGCCTCTGGAGGGCAGTCAGCCTGAATTACTGTGGCATTGTGTTAACTGATGTCCTTCAGAGCTGCAACCCCATCCACAGGATTGCAAAGTCATTATTCAGAATGTTTTGCAGCTTAGCATTCAAACTTACTCCTGACATATGTTGCCAGCATTTTTATTCCACAGTTGTCTCCAGCTTTAGTCAGTGGTTGTATATTCCACTGCCTTCCTTTTCCATATAGCAATGCTTTTTGTACGCCTACTGCTTGCCTTTGCATTTCCTAATCTCTCTTCCAGTAGAATAGAATATAAGTACTGACCAAAGTATTGATTTTAAAATGAATTCTGAACTAAAGTGAAATCTGAACTAAGGTGAAACTGTTCTCCGAACATGTGCATGGAAACCCTCCAGCTCCTGTTGGTTTTCACAAGTGAATACCGCAGTGGCAGTCGCTATTTACAATAAAAAGAAGCTTGGGTAGAGATTGGGGAACATTGTGAAGTGACCACAGACATGCTGTGAGAGCACTGGTGTAACCTTTCCCTTCCAGTAACAGTAACAGAGATCCTCCCCCTTCTCAGCTCTCCCCTACCTAGTGCTGCGTAGGTGTTGGTGGGGAAGCTGACATGAGCTGTATCTGGGCTCAGGGTCTGCAGGAGGCTGTTTTGGGAAGCATCTTGCTAAACGCTGGAGCACAACTGCATCCGTTTCTCCTCTGGTTACATGTCTTTGCCGTGAGGAGGCTACTATGGATGTTGATGAATGTTGTGGGCCTAGAGAAACAGTAATCAAATGGTGAAATTTGACACAAGTTACATGGTTGTCCAAAGGCCATTCTTGTTCTGTGTTTCAGGAACAGCTACGTTCCTTCCAATGCCTTCTGAAGAAAGCCATCACAATGTATGCTGAGGACTACTTCACAGTACCACCTCAGGGCTCCAGCTGGGATAGGGAACATGCTGCATATGGTTCTGGCTACAGCAGAAATTACTCATTAAGAAATGGTCTTTAGTCTGAGATTTTGCATTTCAAGCAAGTAAACCCAGGGAAGTAGGGTAAATTTGTAACTAACTGGTCTTATATGTGATAGAAATTGCTGTCTTTGCTGACTGTTGCTGTTATTTGCATGACACCAAAAGTGCAGATACAGCTGCCACTTTCCACTAGATCCGTGTTTTTCAAGAAGCTACAAGCTAGTGAAAATTTTAATGCACAGCCACACATTTTTCATTTTCATAGCAGTCACAAAATATTATTTTTCCCCTTAAAAAGAGTCGCTGCTCCCCCAAAAATAAAACAGTGTATTGCACAAGCCATGCTACACAACCTTGACAGTTAACACTATACATACATTCATTTCCCTCTGAGGATTTCCATACACAAAACAAAGAAAAAGTGACTTATGCAATTAATTGATTTTTTTTTTAATTTGCCACACAGGAATGGTGCCTTAATGAAGTGACATATGATGCTCTCTTAAGAAATCTGCAGGAAATTCATACCAAATTTATAAACCTAAATCTCTGGTTAGATGCCCATCCTTTTTCCTCTGCATTTTTAATTTCAGTTTTAAGATTGTGGCAATGGAATGTTTAAAAAAAAATCTTCTACATATCCATATCAGCTTTATATACAAGAAAACAACTTTTGAAACATCATCTAACACTTTCTCCACTAACTGAAGAGTCAAAAGTAAACTGGGACCAACATGAGTCTTGTTTTCTAAGAGTGACACCTAGAGTTTCATCTGAAAATGTAAAAAGGTTTTCTTTACTTGTCCAGGTTTAGAAGGCAATAGGCATTTGTACAAGCATATTACTTTGAATTTATAGTTATATATACTTAATAGTAATTTGTTAGTAAGTTTTTGTGCAGATTTCATACAAAATTGTTGTTAAGCAGCCCACATATTTAATCTGTCATTTACTGGAACAATTCTCTATAAAACAAGGGCCTTTGTTTTGCAGGCCTCATATTTAAGTATTCATTGATGAGCATCAAATTGTTTTGAAAGTGTGATTTGTATTCCTGCACGAAGGCATGCACCCTCCCCAGAAGCAGTGGTGCTCTCATTTTATAGACAAGGCAAGTAAGTGCACACTGCAAAGTGTCCTAAGCCATGCAGAAAATGAGGGTGAGAACACCATGTCGTGAGGCTTGTTGCCGTAAGATGATAACCTGATTTTTCCATCACATGGAGGGAGGAATCAGGACTGACTTTTACGTAACTAGACAAACTGCTTAAGCTCAACTGAAACTTGTAAAAACCAGCTGTCTGACCCATTTAGACCAGATGTGTCCAATCTACGGCCTATGGGCCACGTGCAGCCTGGCTCAGCACATGCTGTGGCCACCCTCTGTGCACAGGGAGGTCACATTGCAATGCTAACTCAAAACGTGGTAAATAATGTTATGCATTTTGATGCACTGGATAAACACAGTCCTGTGATCAGCAGAAAATATGCAGCCCTGCTTTCCATTCTGCTATAGGAATTTGAGAACTGGTGTCAAGATTGACCAAAAAATCATCAGTTATTTGGTATATTTACAACTCCATTTTCAGTTGACATAAGTACATTATTGTGAATTTTCAAATGGAATGAACTGAGTTGTAATCAGAAAGTCAACTCAAAAATCCAGTTATGTCTCTTCACCAGATTTTAAAAGCCCTAGAAAATGAAAGTCTAAAAAATAAAAGAAGTTTTGTTACTTATAGACATAAGCTATATCATATATTTTGTACGTGGCCCAAGACAATTCCTCTTCATTCAATGCGGTCCAGGCAAGCTGAAAGGTCGGACACCCACAGTTTAGATTCCAAATGTTTCTATCTGTTCCCTTCTGTGTCACCTCTGTATGCCTTCAAAAAACAAAGCTCAACTTCAGAAATCATCATAAACCACTTCAAAACTTAAAAAAAGCTGTTGTTATCTTGTTCTGGAAACTCCTTTATAACACCAGTGCTGAGCACAGAGCTTATGTCCATCTTCCTTTCCTATTACAGAGGAAAATACAGATAATGTACTTGCAAATCTCAAATGCAAAGTTAAGGCTGCATTTTAGCCTGTGAATATCCTAGGTGTTACCATCCCTGAATGACAAAGAAATAATAATTTTAAAAATCTGTAAAATTCAAGTAACTTGGAGGTGTTTCCTCGGAGCCAGAAATGATTTTGTTCACTGTTTGTCTTAGAATGAAATATGCTCAGATAAAATGCAGTGGTCTGGTAAGTTACTGCAACAAAACCTGGTGTGTTGTATCCTGCAACTCCTTCTAGTAATAAAAAAACAAATTGTGGAATAATATAATATATTGTGACATATCATCCCACTAATTATAAAGCAGAAGATTAAATCCTATCCTGCTTGCTATCCTGCTTGCACAGGCATTCAGGTGGAGCTGGTATTCCTCTGGAGCACTTGAGAAAGTTCTCTGCAGGCCTAGATGGGGAACAGGAGGGGCAGAAGGCAGTATTCCTGGCCTCACCTGCATGTTCCATATAATCTCACTTATGTTCTGGATCAACAAGTACCTGTCATGTCATGGTAAAATAAGAAAATAATCAGTGAGCAGAAACAAGCTATATGAGCATATATTTACATAAAAATCATCATAAAGCATCTCCAGAGTTTATCCTAAAATGCTAACAGGTCAGCTACTCTGGTTGACATGCAATGCCTGAAGTTCAGCACAAGGCCACCTAGAGGCCCATGTGCCATGTAACACAGCACTGACAGTTGAGTTCTAAGCACCAAAGCTCTCATTTTCATTGCTGTCCCAGCACTGACTGTCCCAATCAGTCAATGGTATTTCCCAAGAGCATCCGCTTTAACAAAAAAATGTTCTGTATTTCAACATGTAATGAATACAGTTGCTTGAAGATAATTGCTAGAACACAAAGCTAGGAAGCCAGTGTTATGACAGTTCATTGCTTGCGCTGAAGGGCTCATGTCTTCATTGCATGGCTCTTAATGTCAAACATAAGTACAAAGTAATTGCTTCGTGTTCTCACTGAAGATCAGCACTTGAACCTGTCTGAGATCATTTGTTATGATAAAAAACTGCTTTTAAAACTACTGTATTGCCATCAGAAGCCATTCCTGCTGAGATTCACTGGCAGTTTCCCAAAACAAAGGTGTACTGTTTCTTTCTTAAATGATCTACAACGTGTTAATGAGTAACTTCCCACACTGCAATTTAAAATTGCCACAAGCAATCAGCAAATACACAGCGTGTTGCATAGCTGTGGAAGGACCTGGAAGAGAAAGCTGACATCCTGCAAAACCCCAGGGCATAAGAAAGGCAAGGTCAGATAGGGTTTGTGAGCAGGGAGGGGTGAGGTGGGGTTGTAAGGAGCTGCTGGAGCATGGGGTAGCATAGAGCTCTGGCTCCTAAAGAAACAGTTCACTCATGGATTCGCTCATGCTTTCTGCCAGGATGCTGGGCAGTGACTCACAAGCAATTCTGCAGAATCTCATCCTTATGGAAGTTCAATCATACAGATGAGGAATTCTTTCTTACCTGGATAATTTCTTCTAAGTCTTTAAAAATGTGGGAAAACTAGAACACCATTTTTATCTTGTATTATGCGAAAGATCTTTTGGAAACAGCTACCAATCAATTGAGTAATAATGTCCCACAAATCTCACTCAAACCGTTTTCAAACCCAGTAAATGGCAATCAACTAATCATGTTTTCTGCACTACGGGATCTCAAGTAGAGTGTGTGACATAAGAAGGTCGTGCATGAGTCATAGACCAAGGTTTTGTCATTAATTGGAGTATGTTTATTAGGTATCAATTATTACTTTAAGTTAATAATAATGATAAGCAGCATATACTTATTTTTTCTTCTTTAGATGTAGAATAGTTGTGCATAGTTACATATCTATAAAATACGTTTACATATATATTGTAGGGGGAGGTTCTGAAGTGTTCCATGTTATTCTAAATTGTAATCACACAGTGGTGACACAAGGCATGGCTAGATCCTGATCCTTGTGGTAGTAGACTACAAGATGGGCTCACGCAGTGTGTCCAGGGGTGCCTATGAGGCAACAAACTGGTGGGCAGGACACAAAGCGCGTCATGCTGTAACTGTTCAAGGGGCTGCTCTTGTACTGAGGGTAGGAATAGCTGCCAAGACAACTCTGAAAGATCTTGAAAGTTCCTCTTTCCGCTCTTTTTTAACAAGAGCTCTTCTCCAGTGTTGCAGTGCTGCTGCCAGGCAAGTCGTACATCCAGCACATGGTTGTTTGTCAGGCCTTTTGGGTAAGGATCTGTTCTTAATATAGAGATGACGTGTTTTCAGTCACTTCCTTGTTCCTCATACTATGGTTTGGATGTAGGCCTGAATCCAGGGAAGGAGAATATCGAGCTCGTTGATGGCCTTGTATACTCCCTTTTCCCCAAGCTGTCAAGAAGATAAAGACATCAGAAGTGAAACCACCCACACAACCAAAGCAAGAGCCAATACCTCCTGCTCTTACCTTAAGAAATGTTTTCTTCATATTTTTGACAGCAGAAGTTAACCTTGTGGACGGAGCACATGGAAGCTGAAGGGATGAAAAGAAACCAAAAAAGCTTGTTGCAACAAGGATGATGATGGAAATAAAAAAGCAGTGAGGAAGAGACAAACCCACTGTGTGGCACCATTGGACTATGTGTAAAATGTGTGAAATCAGCACCTCCTGCTATTACAGAAGTGTTGTTTTACTTGTGTGCTGTCTGGAAAACTGAGATCACACTACAAAAACCGTAGTATAGGTATCACCAAGCCTTCATATTGCAAATTTCCTATTTATCTTAAGGGTCTTTATATCAGTGGCAGTGACAACTTTAGTATGGTGTAACCTAGCTGTAAGGCTCATGTCCTTTAACTAGAATTATCAGCCTGGCAGCCTGACAGCTGCCACGGGATCACCAGACTGGCACCCATGGCCCCAGGGTGCCCTGACATCTGTGCCACCATCAGCTGTTCACTGTGCCTGATCTGCATGCTCACAGGGGTGCATCATAACTCTTTTAATTGTGTTTTTCTGGTTGCTTTTTCTGGAGCACTCTGGATAAACTTTCTAAGCAACACCTTCAGCACTGCTACCTGATTCCCCAACTCTCTATGCTTTTCAAGGGAAAAATCCTACTGTTGAAAAAGTGGACATATCTGGTATTTTCCAGCTTGCAAGCAAAACCAGCATTTTGGAAAAGAAAAGAGGCAAAAGTCCTGAATTCATTTAAAAATATGTGACGTCCATCTTTCCACTTCAAACAGAATTTTTAAAAAGGAGTGCAAATTTTCTTTTCAAGTTGCTTTCCATGTATGTTAAAATCACCTTGCAAACTGAAAATGTGAGTAGAAATAACTCACATTTTTAAGCCTTTAACAATCTTCTAACTAGGGCAGTTCTTTATGATGTGGGTTTTTTTGGTTTGTTTTTTGGTTTTTTGCATGCTTTTTTTTTTAAAGGTCAGTTTGCATGATGCAAATTTCCACACAAGTATTTCAGAGCAAGTGAACAAATGAGCAAGAAAGCAAGCTTGCTCATTTCAAGCCACGCTGCAATCTCTACTAAAGACCAACCAGCTCTATTTGCAATGATAGAGCAATATTAAAAATCCTACAGCAAATGTATTGCCTTTCTGCACTCAAATACAAGAAAAAAACTTCTTCAACCTCCTATTGATGTAGAAATATCCCCAGAAGCAGTGGCTGTTCTCACATTGTTGCCATCTCAATAGGAAAAATGAGCAAGTAAATGGGCTTTTGCTGAGAACAGTGGTGCTGCAGATGGGTGATCCCAGTATCCAAGAAAAAATGTAGAATTCTTTAACAGTGCAGTCATACTCTAAGTGAAAGGGCTTGATTTCCCTGCAGAAAAGGGACTTAGAGATTTTGGTACCTGTGCATTTTTCAAAAACTGAGCTTGAGCTCTTACATTATTGGAAAATATTAATACATGGGGGGGGGGGGAAGGGACAGTAAGAAAAATAAAAAAGGTTAAAATCAAGACAATAATGTAGTACAAAGTCTTTGGAAGTTGTTTGGAACCAAATATTGTTAGGACTTTTACATAGGGCTTGCCAGTATACTTGGCTGAATTAGAGACAGAGTTCACAAAAGAATATAGGGTGGGTATGTACGTAAAGGTGTCACTGTTCCCCTCACTTGCATGAAGAACTTGACCCAGGAAAGATGATGCATTTCTTATGCAAGTATGTTGCCATGGTGGAAATCCCTTCTGACAAACATCTTGCAATTCAACTATACAATGAACATTGAAGAATTCATCCTTAAGTTTATGAGGGAATAATACGGTGGAGAAATCACAAACTAAGTATTAGAAGAAGATTCATTACTTTCATTCTGATCACAATTTCTGTTATTCTTTCAAATGTTTTTTTTTTTCTATTGTTGACTTTGAACTAATAAAAAAATTATTTTTAAAGTGCTACTATTTCCAAAAATGAGGTGTCTCCTAGAAAATCATGACAAGTCATCATTTTCTGAACACTTACTGTTTTTCTTCTATGAGAAGAAGTCTTTTCTTTCCTATATATATAGGAAAATACATATTTCCTATATATATATATATTCCTATATATTTCCTATATATATGTATTTAAGATTGGAAAATTTAAATTGTTTTGTTTATATTTGTGTTGGATAGAATACTGGCACTAATTGTGAAAAGAGTTCAGTATCTTTGGGAAATGCACTGCATTTTGTCTCCATAGAGCACAGAAACAGAAGGGTTACTAAGTTATATAGTTAGCTACAGTCACTGACGGCACGTCATAATAACTGATGTGCTGAACTGAGTCATAGCTCATAGTCTGAACTCCTCTATGTGTACTGACTCTTGTATGAGGCATAATTTTCAGACAATTTTCTAGATAAGAATGGAATTTCATTCAATTATGTTGTATTGTTGTATTGTTCTAATACCTGGAATTTTGACAGACACATATAATTGTAACAGAATTCTGTGAATAGTGATTGCAATTATGTAACATGGCTTAAACACTGAACCTGAGAAATGGGGGAGTTTTCTCCCATTGAGCTCTGAACATTTTTACATTACACAAATATTTTTGTTGTGTTCTGAGATACAGCATTGCAAGTTGTCTGAAGTTGTTTATTTTTGAACTGCAAATATCTGTGTGCATAAAGAACCACTGTCCCTTTCTAACATGCTACCACATATTTCAAATTAGACAAAGCTATACTGTAATTCAATAACATTTTGTTGACTTTTCATTCTGCCTTCACTTTTTAAAATTAGCATAAATATTTACCTGACTGTTCGTGGTTGTATTAAAGCCTAACTCACATTTCACTTTTTGTGACACTGTTACTTGTAAGGACCAAAGGATTTGGAGGGGAAAAAGTGGCTGTGGATGATAAAGCTTACCCTGTTCCTATTCACCTACCCTTTAAAGAGGAGCCAGGAGGTAAGGCCTAACAGGACATTCTGCAGCCTAGCATGTATGCGACAAGAAGGGGAAGAGAATCAGCCTACGAGTGATGGGGTCATTTTAGTATCACCCTTTAATCTATGTGCATATTTGCACATGCAAAAATGTGTACTAACTACTGTCCTGGTGTCATGTGCAAGGCGGGATGATGACATGGTATTGGTAGGACACCTCAATTTACTCTTGGGACGTGTTGCCAGTGGGCAGCAGCTTCAACTGCATAACCAATACATGAAAACTGCTCCTTTGTGGTTTGTCCCATGTCATAGAACCATAGAATCATAGAATCATTTATGTTAGAAAAAGCCTTTGGAATCAAATCCAATGATCCATCTAACACTACAAGTCCACCACTAAACCGTGTAGCTAAGAACCATGCCCACACATCTCTTAAACATGTCCAAAGATGGCAACTCCACCATATCCCTCAGTGATCCCCTTGCAATTCACCTTTCAGTGAAGAAATTCTTCCTGGTAACCAGTCTTAATCTCTCCTATTGCAACATGAGGATGCTGCCTAACATTCTATAACTTGTTACCTGAGAAAAAAGACTGGTACCCTCCTTCCTACTTTCTCTTTCAAGATAGCTACAGAGAATGATGCCATCTCTCCTCAGCCTCCTTGTCTCCAGACTAAGCAGTTCCAATTCCATCCACCACTTCTCGTATGTTTTCTTTTCTAATCCCTTCACCAGCTTTACTGCTCTTCTCTAGATATACTCAAGCAATTCAATATCCTTCTTGTAGGGACCCAAATTTGAGGTGCAGTCTCACCAGTGCCTCATACAAGGAAGTAATCACTCCCCTAGCCCTGCTGGCCACACTATTTCTGAATTTCTGATGCAGGCCAGGCTGCCTTTGGCCTTCTTGGTCACCTGGGCACATGGATGGCTCATGTTCGGCTGACTGTTGTATTCCCATGTCCCTTCTGCTTGGTAACTTTACAGATGCTCTTTCCCAAGTCTATATCACTTCATGCCACTGCTTGCTTATAAATCACTTGCTCATGAATCAGCTCTTCCCAGATTCAGTGTGGTGGAGTAGAGATAATATGTAAGTAAGAGTACCCATGGCATCTCCACAACCCTGCAGACACACTCTGGAAGGAAACGAGTGGTGTGAAACTTCCCCAGGATCAGGGGGAAGCCCTTGGGAAACTGAGTCCTCTGTAGCATAGGGCACACCATGATCCTGAATCACACTCTTAAGCTGTCAAAATAGTATGATCTAGCCCTTTCCTAGCCTTTCAGCTGGATAGAGGTAGTTTGGCTCTCGGTAATATACTCACACAGGCATTCATGTTCTCTTGCAGGACCCGGAAGGCACTAATAACGTACAGCTTTTCACTTTCTATTCCAAGATGACTGAAAACATTTTTCATGTAGAATGAGAGGAGCTGATCTCGAACATTACAATTTGTCTGAAAACAAAGCAGGCAAGGAGTTGACAAATGAAGATCTCACAAGTCAAATTTTGTCTGAAATGTTACGTTTGTAAAAATACATGTGGTTAGAAAGCATGTAATCAATAGAAATATTTTCAAGGACTTCAGTATCCCATCACATTGCATCCTTTTTTTCAAAACCCTGAGGTTTCTGAAGATAAGTCAGGAGGATGTTGCACTGACACAGCAAGGAGCACCAGTAAGATAAGCCATGAACAGAAGAGACAGTAACAAATCTATCTATGCACAATGAATAAATAGAAGAAAAATAGGGGAGTTAAGCCAGATAATCTTAGCCAGATTGTAGGTATGATTGTGGGTGTTACTGTCTGATTCCTCCACACCAGTGTCCCATGCCATACAAGATGCTGTAAAGGAATCCCTCCCAGCCCCAGCTGCTTCTCCAGAAGAGAACACATTATTTAATACCCTACTTATCTGGGGGATATCTTGGACACCCAAAGGTATTTCAAAAAGGTATATGCCTATTTTTAAGAAACTGAACCAAGTATTGGGTGCAAAATTAAGCCATCGAAATGCAGGTGCCTGCATGTACATCCCATGGGCAAGTAAGGATCCTTCAATCCTGGATCCACTCAATGAGATCCCCAGAAGTTCAAAGGCTAGTAGGTCTCTACTGACTGACTCCACTGAGCCAGTCTGCCCCACTGACTAAATCTCTGCATAAAAGGTGCTAAAACCACTCACACATCTGTAGTCACCTATGAATAGACACCATAAATTCAGTGTCTCACTTCCGCACCAAATCATATCTGGGGAATCAAATCTCTCTCTTCTAGGGCACCTGCAGAGGTCTAAGCCCAAAGCATCTATTGGCTGCTTGGATGTCCTGGCCAGTCTTCAAAATCCCTGGACTATCTGCAGTACGCATAGCCTCACAGAAGGTAGCTCAACTGTGAGGATGGTGGATTTGGCCTCGGGCCTCATATGAATGAGATGGTACCTGAAAAGCATTACTGAAGAGGATCACACAAGTGTAAAGTATTCAAGGGAGGAGCAAGGGCTACCATAAACATGTTCTTTCACAATGCAGTAGACACTGTCACCCCAATGCTCCAAGGAGAGCTCGACTGCAACCAGCTAGTGACAAATGCCTCTAGCCAGGCTTTCCACACCCACCTGTTTCTCCTCATACCACAGTCACTTTTCCCCTCAAGTCCCATAGGAAATTTTTTGTGGTACAGATGTAACACTTCCTCAAAGCAGAGAATTCCGTTAGAGTTATGGCTCTAGTAAACATTGCGTACTTGACAATTAAACACAACTAACTTTTGTGTCAGCTGTCATTCCTTCCTATCTCTACAGATCAAAGGAAAATCAAAGCAAAAAGTGAGGAAAAACAATAATATAACTCTTACCATAAACAGCATTTTTGTCGTCTTTTTTAGAAGTCTTGTATTCTTGATGAGATCCTTCTGTAAAATACAATGTTCTAATATTAATTAATCTAAGAAGAGGAAGGGAGAAAGAGCTTTTAGAGTTTTTACAGAGCCTGATCTGTACAAAACTCTGTACAGTAGTGTTTCCTACCAAGGTGTATTCTAGTCACAGTAATAATAATGATCTTATTCAGATGTAGGATGATGTCCCCGTAAATCTGTGTTCCAGTCCCAGCCTGTCAGCCTATGAACTTCTTCCATGACCTTGGCAAACTCATCCCACCTCTCCATACATCCTCTTTTTTTCCCATCTTTACGAAAGGAGTAGAAGCATTATCTTTTCTCTCAAGAACACAGAGATACATTCAGCTTACTGAAGTGTCCGGGTGATGAATAGCAAAGCTGTCAAAGAAGCATCTGTAAATAGAATAAAGTTCAGCTAGTGGGATCAACTTACAGGAACAGATGATTTTAAACTAGTTGCCTTGGTATATAGGTTCTCTGTCACTTGGGAGAGTAGTCCTTTCCGGCAGGTACGCTTTCCTGTAGGTGACTTTTTGCCTTCTACAGAGAAAAGACAAAGTAGAACTAACAAATACCCAGATCTGAAAATAGAATACGCTTTCATCTTCACTCCCAAATCTTCGTGCTCTACAGTCACAGCAGCGTATGTGATACAGCAAGACTGGTTAGATTACAGAGGTTAACCTAATTTTGTTAACCCTCAACACAGCTCCTGCACTGAGATGCTCATGTAGATAACCTAATGCTCGTGTGCTGGCTCATTAGTATTGTTGCTGGGCTTTTTTATAGATGTTGCTCCACTTTCAACAAGTTTTACCACAGTCATCTGTGACGTTTTCTAAACGATATCTCCATATTTACTGGCAGCAGGGTCAAGGTTTCCAAGAAAGTAGAACTTCCCTCTCATGTGAGAAGTCTTTCTCTTAAGCGGTGGTCATTTGAAGGAAAAGTGTTTGAGCTGGTTAGTTTGGTTTCATAACAAATTATACCAAACGTGAATTTTCTAAAATTATTTTTCCACAAAACTTTATGGCAGCAATTTTCTAACACGTAGTGGCCCAGAGACAAAAAAATCTTTGCTAATTTAAACTAAAATAGTTTTGAAAGTCCATTATGTGTAAGGAAGCTAGACTATGTTGCTTTTAATTCTTCATTGTCTAGTCCATTGTGAAGTGTATTTCAGGTATACAGCAGATAGTAGCAAAGGATTTTGCTGCTTATTTTAATGCTTTAATGAATCTTTTGCTGGGGCAAGATTTGAACCTGTAGTAGCAGCAGGTTGTGCATCCTGAAAGGCAGGGCTCCAGTCGGAGCTCTCCTCATGCACCAGGGCATGCCTGGCTACCAAGCTTCCTTAAGAGCACACCAAGTAAAGGTCAGGAAATGACATGAGAGGTCCCAATCTACCCACCAGGAAGGTTATAAAATTAAAACTGTAGAGTCTGATGCTTGCTTTTCTACACTCATACCCAAACAGAAAGTGGGCAGTCTGTATCTCTGGCCTGCTTTTGAGCCTGCCACATGCTGGGAATAACAGAGCTGTCCATCCCAGTTGGGTGACTGGGATAAATTCATCTCAGGTACCACTCCATTCATACAAGGAACGTCACACCAAGGATGGAGTTAGAAATCCTGAAGTGATACCATCAGTGTGAGGCCATAAAATAATGAACTGGTGAAGTCAGCCATCAAAACCCCAATGACCTGTATGACCCCCACTTCTATGTATGATAGAAATAGGAGAAAACAGCTTCTGGTCTAGCATACCAACTCTTCCACCTACATTGATAGCAGGTTTGGGAGAAAGGATGAGACAAGCTAGACAGTAAATTTACCCTCAGCATTGATCCCACTGTTTATTTATGCAAATAAATATGCCTGCATTCTCAGTCAAGATGAATTCACATTCAGCTCCAGGGATCTCGCTTGTAACATCTCCTGGAAAGGAGTTTTATTACTTTATTACTATTTATTACATTTCCTGGAGTTTTATTACTTGACCAATCTACATATTCCAGTAGCTTCACTCTATGCTCCTGTAGCTCAGGACCAAAGAATTGACAAGAGAAGGAGAGTTAAGACTTTTGGTTAAGTGGAGATGATGGAGACCTGAGGCCCTGTATGCACTTCAGTGCTCATTTGATCTCTGGTCTGTGTTTAAGCTCTCTAAATGCTATCAGATTTGTTTGATGAGATACACTAAAGACCAGCATTCAAGCCATGTGGACAGCAGATTAAACACTTTCTTTTAGTTTGTTCCCGGAGAAGGATCTCAGGCAATACCAGAAGCAGAGACAGAATGCATAACTGCCTTACTTTCCCCAAGGTGTGGTACTCTCTGGTCAATAGCTTTACTCTAGATGGAATAAATGTGTCATGTAGCCAGACTGTAATGGCTTTTCACAAGAAAATCAATAATTTTAAATATCTCTGAAAACTCCTGTTGTTGCTGGAAAACCCTTGAACCCACAAGTTTCATTTTGTCTGTTCTGCAAGCTCCTACCATTGTGCTATAGTAGTTACACTGATGCACTAGGCTTTAGAGAGCTTCCTTGGTGACTCAGCACACATCTTGCTGAATCCATCTAGTTTTTCATAGAGTTCTGTAAATGGATGCAGGTGGATGTAAACCACTAAGAATAAGAAAAAACTAACAGAATGACCAACATATTAAAGAAGAAAATCTTGCTGAATTTGCCCTGGCTGGGGACTAAGTTTCAGAAAGGACTGTGTGTAATTTACAAGTGCAACAATCCACGTCAATGCAGGCTCAGTGCACAGGAACATCACCATGGAGGGAATCTTTTCTTCACCATCTTGTTTTGAGTCATGGAACTGACTCGATCTATATGAGTTAACCAGACATTATCATTATTAAATTCTCTTGGTCTGTGTAAAGCAAATGGATACATCTACCACTGCTACAAAGTTCTCAGTCAATTTCAGGTAACAAACATACTATTATTTTGCAGCTTAGTTGGCTTTTTTATCTGTATCCATAAAATACCCCATCTAATCTCTTACTTCTGAATCTTTTCATCTTTCACATTTTCTGTTGATTTTATTTCCTGTTAGCATAACTAGAACTAGAACTAAATTAGCCCTATGCTTCCTATAGACCATTTTTTTCAGTTAACTTCAGTCTTCTGAAAAATAGTATTCTACATGAAGAGCTGCAGCATTTATGCACCAAAATATGTTTTGATGAGTAATGATGATGTTTATTGAGATTTTCCCCAAAAAAGTCCTAATACCTCCATTGTAGACAGAAGTTTGGAGTGGAGCATCTCTTATCATCCAAAGAAGATTCTGCAGTTTTTGGAACATGGTTGTAATGAATATAATCATATAGGTAGGCACAAAATACCCATCAGCACTTGAGAACTTCTTTTAACCTTCTTCGCTATCTGAAGTAATATGAGACTTTGGAGCTGGTACAGATTTTTGACAATTACTAAACATTTATGAGCCGACTTTTCAGACATGAGGGTCTAGACTAACCATGCAAACTCAGCACATGAGCACCCAGTCATTCACTAACACATCTTCAACAGTCAGCAGAGCAGCTCTTGCTTAAATATTGTATGCACAATGCAATGGTTTGGGAGAAAAGAGAAGGGAAGGGAAGGGAAGGGAAGGGAAGGGAAGGGAAGGGAAGGGAAAGGAAGGGAAGGGAAGGGAAGGGAAGGGAAGGGAAGGGAAGGGAAGGGAAGGGAAGGGAAGGGAAGGGAAGGGGTGCACCTTGAAACTGGGATAGTCTAAGAAAGGTTGCAAACATTTGATGCCTAATATGGGATGTCAGTCTGGTGTCTTTCCCACCCCTAACTTTGACTACAATTGTTCCCATGGTGCACTCACAGTCTATGGTGCCTGCCTGGATGCTCCTCAACTACCTTTGTTGAATATATCCAAGAAGCATAGAATGACTTTGGTTGGCCAGGCCCTCTGGGTCCATCTGCTCCAACCTGTGTCCAGCAGAGCCACCAGCACAGGGTGCCCAGGGCTGTGTTCAGTCAGCTTTGAAAGATCTTCAGGGAGGAGTCTCCAAAACCACTCTAGGCAGCTTATGCAAGTGCTCTGTCACCCACATAGCGCAGAAGTGCTGCTTGGTGTTCAGAAGCAATCTCCTGTGTTGCATAATGTACACATTCCCTCCCTCCATTCTCTTTCAGTCTCCTTTCAGATATTTCTGTACACTGATAAGTTCCCCCTTGAGCCTTCTCTTCTCCAAACTGAACAGTCTCAGCTCTCTCAGTCTGCTCTTGATGCTCCAGGTTCTTAATCATCTTTGTGTCCATGCACCAGCAAGACCATGTGTCCAGACTGAATTTATTCACTTTATGCCTTAGATGAATCTAATAAAAATTTTAAGATATTAAGTAAAGCAGAAATCATAATCAAACTAAGGTGAAAAAGAAAAACCAAGCAAAAAAAAAAAAAAAAAATAGAAACCTCAAACCCAATTACATTTCCTCCAGGCATTTGCATCGCTTTGCTCAGTATGAGTAACATCTCATGAAGAAGTCTCAAATGTGAATTGTTATAAAACATACTGATAATGTCCTCTCATCTTCGGGAAAAGACACAGACAGGCTCATACGGTGGGTCTCTCTAGGCTACTGGTCTGGTTCTGTATTTCAGTTTGGTGGCAGCCAGCAGTTGTCTGCGAAGCAATTCTTACTTCATCCATGTTTAGCATGCTCAGTCTCCCCAGAGGCAGTGCACAGAGGGTCCAGTTTGAAATCACCAAGGTACTAAAACTGATCTTTTCCCTCTACACACAGAAAATAAACAGGAGTTTAAGATTTTATAGCAGTAGTGAACCATTGCACCCGTTGGTTAGGCACCCTGGAAGAATGCTCAGCACTACCTGACTATCTCAGGATGCTGTTCAGTATCTTCAGCTATGCAACTAAAAATCACTTCATGGCTAGGTAAAAATCTGTATTACACATAAAACTTTTACGTAGGTGGCCTTTACTAGTCATGCTTTTGTTGTCTGATGGAGATAATGCCATTTGAGAGAATATTGAATGTGAGGAAATGTTCAGGCACATTCACATTGTTCCCATCAACCAGTGAAGTGATCTCAGTTAATGACAGATATTCAGTCTCTAACCTCATTATAAAATGTTAGTCTGATGCCATCCAACTTTTATTAGGAAATTTCTATACAGAGGGATTATTCCTTGGTTTACAGGCATGCTGGGCAGTAACAAATATCTCAGCTTCCCCACATTGGTAGATGTCTATTCCAAACTCTTTGCTTGCTCTTGCACATAGAGGAATATTCAGACATCTGTGACTTGCTTTCTGTTGCAATGTCATTGCAGCCTTATTAAAAAGTAGTCCTAAACCTGCAAAAGGAAAAACCAAATCACACGGAAACCTGAGCGTGGTTTTGGGAGAGGAGAATGCCTACATCTGCTAGGCTGGTGGAAGTGGGTTAGTTTGTATAGTACCACATTCACATTGAGAATCTCTCTCATTCTACCTTTGTGCCTCTTTCTTCAGCTTTCTCTCCTTGTTGTTGCTTGTTTGTTCTTTACCCTTCTTGTTTTGTGTAATTTTTTTTTAACTTATAAAATTTAGCTTTCAAAGTGGTTCCCCTCTGTTCTCTTCTCCCAGTCCATCCCTGATCATCTT